TGTATTTGATAAAGTTTTGAACTTTTAAAATATTACATGGTAAAAACAGAAGCTGCTCTTCATATTAGTGACAAACTTTGGTGTTTTTTTGTTGGGTTACTTTTATTTTTCCTTCTATTTTTCATTTAAAATCAGTTTCCATTCTCAGCAGGTTTCTAAGGTTCTTCTTCTACGTTTTAAAAAAGTAGTCAAACATCTTAGAGACACACTACTGCTACTAGTGGTGAGAAAGTGTATTGCACCTTATTTAAAATCAGTGCGGCCCTCTGCGGCCCAAAGTTAAAACCTGTTGTTCTTTTGAGGCCCTCAGGGTGGCAGCTTCAGTTGTTTTATTTTTTAGTTTTTGGATTACCCCTACATAAATATGTTTCTGTACAGTGGGGCCTGAATGTTACAGATCAGAACAAAAACGTAATAATTGTGTAAACTGTTCCTGCAGAGGCAGAGAGAACGTGATGGGGGTGACSTACTGCTTCAGGAAAGAGGACCGTGTGGTGATTGTAATGCCCTACATGGAGCACCAACCTATCGTGGTACATACTCTGTTGTGGCTCAGCAGTTACTTGTTTCAGTGTTTGCATTAATCTCAGTGTTCTTCAGGACGTGATCGGGTTACTAAGTTTTGAGGAAGTGCGTCTGTACATCTACCACCTGCTGAAGGCCCTGAAACACATTCACCAGTTTGGTATCATTCATCGGGACATCAAGCCAAACAACTTCCTCTACAACAGGAAGAGTAAAACGTTAGTATTTTCAACTTTGTTGACTTTTTATATTTTTAATTCTTAGTTGTTTTAAGATGTTTCTGGTAAAATCCTGATTATTTGTTTAGTAAAGGAATCCCCACACTGTTAAATTAGCTCCACACACCACTGTGGTCAGAGCAGGAAGCAGGTGGAAGAGAGTCTGGAGAGGTGCAGCAGGACAAACTGTGTGAAGCTGACAAAACTGAGTTTTCTCGACATTAAATATCTGTTTTTAAATGTATTGTATATTTTTACACTTTTATAAAAATGTCAGCCTGATGTTTACGTTTGGATCTAACCCCACTGAGGTTGCCCACTTCCTCCAAGTGAAACAGGAAGTGCTGGTAGGGTGTTTGTCATGAGGTCAAACTGTGAAGTGGGCAGTGAAAATGAACTTTATTTGTTTAGCCCTGTGTGCAGCTGAGAGTCATCCAGACCCTGATGATGTCACTTCCTGTTCCTGCAGGTACGCTCTGGTGGACTTCGGCCTGGCTCAGGGCACGGCTGACACCCGCATCGAGCTGCTGAAGGTGGTGAGGTCGTCACAGAAGGGTGGAGGGTCCACAGGGAAACAGGAAGCTGCACCGCGGAGCAAAGCATGGAAACCCACCAACACCACCTCAGCTTCTTTACCTGCTCTATCTGTGCCCCGGCCTCCTTCCTCCTCCTCCTCCTCCTCTTCCTCCTCAGCCTCTGGGAAAACAGTGGCTAAAAAGGCCCGTCCTGTCCCCACTTCCTGCTCTCACTCTAAACCCACCAAGGTGTCAGTAGCTGCGTTTCCATTGACCATGAAAATGCGCAAATTAGAATTTCGAAAATAAATTTGCTCAATGGAAACACGTCAATTTCGAAAGAAATTATGTTTTTCGACAAAAAGTTTTTGCGCTAGGATGAGGTGGTATTTCGGCCGTATCGAAATTGGTGTTTTTTGCAAAACTACAATGGAAACACTTTTTTCACATCACGGGAGTCACGTGATCAACAACCGGCTGTTTCTACTTGTGAAAAACACGACGACCAAGAAGATAACAGGAAGTAGAAGTAGTAGTAATATCACAGAAGTAGTATAAAATAGTAAA